AGCAAGGCATGGAGGCTTTGCAGAGGGACGTCTACTCCCTGCCTTGAGCACAGGGTGGAGAACAGAGAGCCACAGAAGCTGGGTGTCCAGCCTCTAAGAGGCTGCAGGCCCCAGTGCCTTCCTAAGTGTGACATTTGACTCCAAACTGCGTGGCACTTTCTGGGTGACCCAGAGTTCGGTAGAGGTGGGAAGGGAAGGAGTGAAGGGAAAAACGGCCAGTGGCCACTGGCCAGAGAGGGAAGGGAGCACCCCTGCCCTCTTCCTGGGACCTCACAGAGCCTCCGCGGAGTGCTCCCTGCACCCTGGGATGGCATCGGTCCCAGCTGGAAGGGACACTGCCCCACGGCCTCAATTCATAGTTGAATTTACAGGCTCAGAAAGGCTACAGTCCCCTCCTACGGCTCACAGCAGGTTAGGGGCAGAGCCAGGGGAGGGACCCGTGTGTCTCATCCCTTTCTCTATTCCTACCCACCCTGTGGTCAACGGGAGGCCTGAAGGGAGGCCAGAGACAGTGTCTGTGATTCCAGTATGAGCCACTTAATGGGGTCCAGTGGCAGGAGAGATGCCACAATCCTGGCAAAGGTCATCCCGAGGGAAGGTCACAGCCCACCCACACTCCCACCCAAGAGTCAGCTGGGCTAAGGACCTAGTCCACCCTTACAGTCAGAGAAGAGGAGGCGGCACGCAGGGACGGTCAGGGCAAGGGCAGAGGGCATCCCAAGGGAGCAGGCATCAGACCCCCCACCCCACCTTCTTCACGGCAGCATGCTCCTCTTCAGTCAGGCAGGAGGCTGGTTGGCCCCTTGCAGGACCCTGAGCCGCGTCCCAGACTCCAGGACCAGCCCTCCAGGGACCAGTACCCAAGCACTCTCAAAGCGAGGGCCAGGGTGGGCTGCTTTTAACCAAAGCTGCCTTGCACTCAGGTCCCTGGAGCTGCAGAGATGAAGCTCTGGGCCCCAGAGTGTGCCTGGGAAGACTGACCTGGGCCTGTGGGGGTTGAGGACTCTTAGAGCCAGGGAGGACCAGGCCTCCAGACAAAATCCCAGGGCCTCCAGAGCCCTGGGTCCCCAGTTTTCATCCTGGAAGTGCCTCATTCCCCAGAGCTGCAACCACTCCCCCTTCCAAATCTCCCCACAAAGGCCTCCATCTCAACCTACCTCCCTCAGGCCTAGGCTCAGTGCCTGGCTGAGCTCCATGCTGCCCTTGGGGTCTGGCTCACACCCTTGCCTGCATCCCAGCTCCCATGGGTAATTGTCAAGGCTGGCGCTCCCCTTGATCCTTAGAAAGGCTGAGAATCAAGGAACCAATACAGCAGCCAAAGCCCAAATGATCCTTCACCCAGCCAGGCGAGGGCCTGCAGGGAAGACCGGGGACATAAAGGGACCAGAGAGTTGCAAACACCAGGGATCCTGTGGTGGCTCCTGCAGAGACCCAGCTGGAGGCTCAGAGTCCCAGCAAAGAGCTCAGTGGTCTTCGAAATCCAGGTAGCCAGCCCCAGGAACATTGAGTCCCATGAACCATCTCCTCTCCCTCGATCTTCTGACAGTCAAAGGATGCACCATTCTGACCCAGCCTCAGGCAGGCTGGACCTAGACAGAGGATCCAACTCCCAGCCTCCACCTTTGTGACAACAGAGCCTGGTTGGACGCGGCAGCGCACAGACCCTTCTAGGTAAGGTTACTGCGGGCCCCGAGCTCCAGTGGCAAAGGAGCTGGCCTCCTGAACAGAAAGAGGCCCAGAAGGAGAGCCCTTTGGGAGGGGAGGAGGGGAGACCCACACTTCTGCTCTGATGCCTTGCAGCGGATTCCCTCCTGATACTGGTGAGGCAGCCACCTCCCCGATCATAGGCGCCCTCAGCCAGCCCCCGACAGGGACCCCAGAGCCACTCCATACATGACTCTGAAAGACCACAGGGAATCTCTTGCCCATCTTAAAAGTCAGGTGTGATCGGTTAAGCACCCAGAGAGGGACCTCAGGGCTCTACAACTCCACAAACAAGAGGGTGTGTCTGTGGAGGTCAGCCCCCCGCAGCGCCCCCCGCCCCCCGGTTCCCTTAGCGAGGCCTGATGGAAACGCAGCTTCACCCCAGCCTCTCCCCAAGAGTCTGCCCAGGCCGTACCCTTAGGCACACACCAGCAAGAGCTTTAGGCTGATGGAAGGCCGGGGGACCACTGAACTCCCTATCTCTGATAGCATCAGAAATCTGAGGAACACTCTTTCCTCCTGCAAAGTCTGGGCTTCAGCTCAAGTCCCCTTCCCAGGTCAGGCTAAAGTCAGGCTTCCTCCCCTGCTCTCCTCCTTCTGCCTGCCCTCCAGGCCCCCCTCCCAGCCTGCTTCCACAGGCATCCCGCAGAATGGGGGCCTGGGCCTTGGACAGACTGAGACCTAAGTCTAGCTCACCACTGGGGCTATGTGCCCCGAGAAAAGTTACTTTGCCACCCTGAGCCTCCATTCCCTTGAGTAAAAGAGGAATGGGAGACATCTGCTTCCCAGGATGAGCATGATTCTCCTCCCTCTCTCCACAGTCCTCCACCTCTAGGCTGGAAGGCTGGGCCCTTCCCGGAGCTCAGTCAATACCAGCCATAGATCTAACAGGGCACTGGGGAGAAGACAGGGTGAGGAAGGGTCACCAGACCCATGAACTCTGACCCTCCTCCCCCACCTGCCAATCCACGCAGCTCCTGTGGGAATCCGGTTCCCTGGCTCTTAGGTGTTGGGGTAGATGTAAGGAAAGGAGTCCTGCCCGCTTGCCAAAGAGCCTGAGTCCTGAAACAGGGACGGGGACACACAGTCCCCCAACCCACTCCCTGCTCACTGTCCTCCCATTTGCCCCGGGGGGGGGGGTCCTCCCATGGCAAAGGAGACAGGAGACCGCACCATCCCCTCCCGTCACCCACCTTCCCAGCCCCTCTATCTTGGACCCTTTGCCCGGAAAGAGCAACCCAACTCTCCCCGATCAAACTGTTCCCCCAAGCATCGTCTTCAGAGGAGAGACACCACTGCCTGGCTACAGAGAGCCTACGTGATTGTGGCCATCCCTGCCTCCCACCGGCTTCCTGCAGATACACGCATCCTCGGAGCAGAGAACAGGCTGACCGAGGTTCACTGGCTCCCAGAGACCCACACCAGGGACCTTCTCTCAAACCTTTAGCCCACCAATCCCCCTGGATATCCCCAGATCCAGCTCCTGAGCCCCTGGACCCACTGCTAAGCTCCCTCCCCTCCCCACACCCCCCCCACACACACACACAAACACACACAGCCCGATGGTGCACTTCCAATCCAGAGTTTCCCTGAGGATCACACTCAGGACCCTCCTCCCACCATCCTCAGGGGCGCTGGAATGCTGTGGCCTGCAGGGCCCCGAGAGGCAGAGTTGGGCCCATCCAGGGTGCCCCTGCCAGCCTCTGGCTCCCCCCGTTGGCTGTTCATCTCCTCCTCTCAGGCCCACCGGCTGCAGGCAGTGAAGAGGTGAATGACAGGGCCCAGATATGGGTCAAGCCTGTCTCCAGGGCCAGGAGTCAGAGACATCTCCTGGGCTGCACACTTTCTCAAACTGTAGCTGCAAGAATGCAAGCACTCTCCCCACGAAGCCAACAGGGCTGGCGGGCTTTAGAGAGCAGAACTGCAATTCCTCCCAGCCTGGCCGCCCCATCGCTGAGGCAAAGGGAGGGCTGCCGCCTGGGAGAGCAGCGCCAATGGCAGATTCAGCAGGGCTTGCGGCCGCCCAAATGCCTTCCTCAGACCCCAGCTAGGACTTCAGTGCAAACCCCTCTCTTGGCTTCCTACCCACTTTGAGGGTCCCCAAGGGGTGTGGACCTTGGCAGGCGGGTAACAACCCCAGCACCGTTCACACCCTTCTCTGGATGTCAGAATGGGGGGGAGGTCACCTGGCCCCCTGAGGTCAGGGGAAGGAAAGATGGGCAGCCTCCCTGGACCCTCAGCTCTTCTCTCTCTTGAGCCATGGTTCTATCCCCCATCCGTACCCAAGGGGAGGAAGGGAATGCAGGCCACCACAGGTCTCACTCAGACGGGGCAGAACCCAGCAAACGCCAGTCAGAGTTGGATTGTCCAAAAAAACAAAAACAAAAACAAAAACAAAAACAAAAACAAAAACGGATCTGCAAGATCGTATAACCCCCATCCCCAAACCACGGCCAGCCCGCCCCCGCCCGCCCCCCCCCCC